TATAGTCTTTTTTGTTTTGCAGAATTTCAAATGTAGATACACCCAGTCTAGCTGGTATAATAAACTCTTATTTACCTATCACACAGCACCAATGATTTTGTTTTCTTTTTTCTGCCTAGATGATTTTTAATTACATTTGGCACATGTTTCATTTGGAAAATATTTCAGGTGATTCTCTAAAGTCTCCTTAGAAAATATAAACATAAGTCATTGGCACATGTGAAAAAAATCCCACAATTTTTTTTCATGTCGTCTTCATTGTTGTGATTTCCCTGTCTCATAAATGCCTTTTTATATTTTTGAATGGTTGAATGGCTTTATTCCTGTTTATTTATTTTTGGCCAAGCTATATCCTCAGCCTTATCTATCTATCTATTTATTTGTCTATCTTGAATTAGGTTGCTGCTGACCAGGCTGGCCTCAGACTTGCCTCATTGCCTCAGCCTCTTGACAAGCTCAGATTATTGGCATGTACCTCCATACTTGGCTCATGAATGCCTTTAAACTTCTTTAAAAAGAAGTTAAAAAATTAGACAATTAAAAGAAGTTCACATATTGCAATTAGTCCATGTCTCTTTAAAAAAACAAAACAAAACTCTTCATTGATACTTTTTACATACCATGAGCTTCACCATTTAAAATGAGCAGTTCAGTAGTTTTGTTCTATTCACAGAGTATATTCACAATCTAAATGTAGAATATTTTCATTACCAGCCAATAAGTAACCAGTGTAGTAGCAGTGATTTGAGCCCTTCCCACCTGCTAGTCCTAAGTAACCAGTAATCAACCTCCTCCCTTTATTGATTTATCTATTGTAGGCTTTGCATACAAATAGATGCTCTGTTTTCAGTGGGTGGCAGCGGGTGGCAGGGTGGGGGTTCCAGGGCATAGTTATACTTCCCACACGGTCAGTGTTAAAGTAGGGAGCACTCAGTCTTTGTCCTCAGCTTCATCTTTCAGTGGCAGCAGCAAAGGCACAGCTGAACTTGTTAGCGTTCAGCTTCCTATGGATTTCCTCTAACTTTTCTGAAGAGTGGTAGTACTCTCTGAAGGCCAGGCCAGGTCTCTAGCTGTGGGTTTGTGTGTTTAGTGTGCTTGTAAGAAAGGGGATGTGGGGGAAATGAAGTTTCCATGTGAGGAGAGTCTCTGGATCTGTAAAATAGCTGGTCAGCAGGCTTGCAAGACAGTTCTGACAGACCTTTGACAAAGTGGTTGCAGTCAACTACTCTGGCCAGGAGTTGTGTATCAACATTATTTCCAGGGCACTTCTGGCGAGAGAGCTTGTTGGTTTGTAGGGTAGTTTGCCTTTGATATTTGATAATCTATCAAAGCAAAATAAATCTGAATTAGGGTCTAGTATAAGTCATTGTTTTAAGGCCATTTAGAAGACGTGTGATAGGCATGGAAAAATTTTTGGCTTTATCAGTTTAGAATAGAGCTTGGAAAGGACCAGCCAAGTAGCTCAGCAGATTAAAGCACCCACAAGCAGGCGCAGGGGCCGGGGTCCCGGGCCTGCTGTGCCGGCCCCGCTCCTGGGGCGTGCTGAGACAGCAGTTGAGACTGGGCTTGGTGGTGCACGCCTGTAATCCCAGCTCTTGGGAGGCTGTAAACAGGCGGCGCACTATGAGTCTGATCTAGTAGTGAGACCCTGAACATGCTGTAGACTCTTCCTTAAAAATACAAAAAAAATTAAAAAAGAAAGATAGGATAGAGCTTGGAGCTTTGATTGAACTATTCTTTAGATTAGTTAATTAGAATTGAAGCTTTTGAGCTGTGAAACTGGTGAGAGCTCAAAGCATAACAATAATTGAATCTTAGTGAAGACTACCATATCAAGTGCAGGTGGGACTGAGTTACACAGCATGTACAGTGCGATGGTTGCCTGCCCTCACTTGATATAGGTACCTTTACAACAACTAAAGAAAACTTCCAGACAAAGTTCTCCAAAAGGCACAAAGAGATCGTAAACCTCACCAGTGATATTTCCCAAGATGTCTGTTAGTGACAACAATGGTGTTCATTTTCTTTTTCTTGCTTATTTTTCTACCATGTATTACCTTTTAAATATAAGTACTTAACATATTTTCACTTACATAATTTTGAATTTTGCAGAGTTTTTGTAAGAACAAAGCAGGAATTAATTTCTGTGATTTGCATCTATCATGCAGAATATGTCATTACTTCTTTTGCCCTATTCTAATCTATATACTGCTTTAAAAATTTTTCACATGTTCCTTGTATTTTTCTTTATTTATTGAACATAGTGGTGCTGCAGATTGAACCCAGAGCCTTGCTTACACTAGACAAGCCTTAGGTTGCTTTTACTTCTGTGATTTTTAGTTGTGTTTGTGGCTATATGGTAGAGAATGCTAAATGAAAAAAAAGGTAATTAATTTACATACAAAAATAAAATCTTCTCTAGATAAGTAATTTATTCTTTATTTAAATGATGGTTTTTGACAGGCTCTGTGGCCAAGAACTTCTTCACCAAGTCAAAGCTTTCCATTCCAGAACTCTCTTATATATGGTGAGTACAATGATTGTCCGTAGTAACATATTACCATATTATTCATCCTTTAGCATCTTGAAGAGCCTTACTTTTGAATGAATTTTTTAGCAGACAAGAGAGTATATAATATAGATTTTTGTTGCTGTAAAGTTTAAATACATTATATGAGAAGCAAAGTAAATAGTACTTAGCATACACTATGCACTATAAGTGTTGACTATTAAAATAATTTCTTTCCCTGGCAGGTGCAAGGGCCTGAGTTCAATCCCTAGTTCTGTGGAAAAAATAATAATTTCTTATTTATTATCTCCATTCAGTCCCTTTCAGGCTACGCAGTGGTAGGCATTGAGACTTTATGCCTTATGCCTTTTATTTTCAGATTGTTCTAATCGAGCTGAGGCAAATAACTAGAGGACCTTAACAAGCTATTGTTTATCATATTTTGTAAGGCTAGGTAAACAAAAGGCCCAGGAACAATTGGAAATAAGTGAAATCTGATTATTCGAGCTGCCTCTTAGCTTCCTAAATTTGGCCAGTGTTTCTTGGTGGGGCTCTAATTCAGTCTTGCAGCTGTAGCACCGTCACTGCACCTTCATGAAGAACCTGCTGCTGTAGCTGTAGCTCCAGAAGGGCGATGCTGACGTGGTCCAGATGGCTCCATTTGCATCTATGAAAATGCTTGGCATCATAAACTCTCAGCTGTGTGCAGGCTAGTTTTTCTCCAAGCCTGGGCAGGAGTCCGTGCTGCTATAAATACATAATTAAGACATTGGGATATTTATGTAAAGCTTTTTTCATGAAGATTCACAAAAATTATAATAGGATTTACTTGTTATGTTTTGTGCATCTTACTGAAAAATTAATTCTATAGTATTTATATATGCCAGTGGATCTGGGATTCTGAACTGGATTTAGGTTCTTTAAACAATATACTCTGGCATACTTCATTATTTTTTTTAACAGAAATCCATATATTAGATTTTAAAGCTAGAAAAAAGAATCTCATTTTAAAAAGAATGCAGACTATTTTGGCAGAAATCCAAGCTTAAATATTATAGGCATGAGGCTTCCTATCTTTTTTTGTCAAGACACATTCATGAAGGCCAAATGGTATTCTCTCCATCAGGCATTTGAAGCAGTTCCCTGAGGCCTCAGCCTGGGAGGCAGCTGGTCTCAGGGCTGGTGTTTTCCAAATTGGAGGGGGAAGAGAGGAAGGGGGCCGTGCAGAGAGCAGAGGATCTAAGGGGAAATTACGGCACTTATTTTCTTTCTAATAGTAGCACCTTTCTAGGACAGTCTCTTGCAAGCCTGTCTCTGTACCTGTGCTCACATAAGCACCTTTGTATCTGTACACTGAGAGATGGGGCTTACAGGCTCTTAATTCCTTCAGTGAATAGGTTTCTTTTGTGCTGAGTAAACAGGTCTGTGTCTTTCAGTGGGAAACAGTGACTGAAGCGGAGATAAGCCTTTTCAAGACTCCCTTTCTTTCTTTTTGTCTTATCTGGTTCCAGCCTTGCTTAGTTGCTAGTTTTATCTTAAAATGTAAGTCAGTGAATATTTACAGAGCTTATTTGTATTTTCCCAAGAGAGAATTTTTCAGGCAAAGAACAGTTTGCTACAAAACTTTACATGATGTAGAAAATTCAAGGTTTTCCTCAGAGCTGAGAAATGAAGCACCTATTCATTCTTGGGTTCAGGGTAACTTGCCTCAAGACTGATTCTAAGTGCCTGTTTCAAGTGCTATGTCGGGCTCTTCCCATCATGCAGCCTGCATTTATTGAATGACTGTCCGCTAAATGTGTATATGTAGACATTGCTTTTCTTTCTGTGCTAGAGTTTCTTGTGCCGTGTTCCCTGTATTAGAAAACACTGCCTGTGAATTTTGTTGGCGGGCTTGAGGCTGGCTCTCATGGCAGGTACTAATAACATTTCTTATTTTTAGGGAACTTAGTGATGCTGACTGTGATGGAGCCCTGACCCTGCCTGAATTCTGTGCTGCATTTCATCTCATTGTGGCCCGGAAGAACGGCTACCCGCTACCCGAGGGCCTGCCTCCGACTCTGCAGCCAGAGTACCTACAAGCAGGTAAGGCTTCCTTGTACATCCTAAATTTTAGACACTTGCCATGAAGGTCTAAAGAAGAAGGTTTTATGTTTTAAAATGCTGTCTAGATATTGGAGAGTCCTTGGTATATGCAGTTGTTTTTCTTTAACTTATATTAGATTTTTACAGCTGATAGTATGAATCAGAGGGCTCATATGGGTAGGTGTGAATCATTGGTTCTTCTTATGTTGATCCCCTCTGAATGCGTTGGAGTCAAAATCTCTTACCCTTTTATTCTTTTTTGTATGTATTTAGTACAGGGTCTACAGGGTCTTACTATACAGATTGGACTCATAGTGATCCTCCTGTTTTCAACCTCCCAAGTGCTGGGATTTCAGGCATGCACCACCATGCCTAGTTGTCTCAGCATGCCCCAGGTGCAAGGCTGGCAGGGCACTGTGGGGATCGAACCCCAGTCCCTGTGTCTGCCTAAGCAGGTGCTTTAATCTGCTGAGCTATCTGGTCAGCCCCTACCCTTTTGTGAGAACTATGGAATAAGCAAATACTGAACCTATTAGCTGATAAAATATAAAAAAGAAGGTCGTATAGAACCAGATAGCAACTGGTGCATGTCCTAGTGAGGCAGTGGTGAACCTTTTAGAGCTTTCAGTGATATAAACAGGCAGCTCTTGCATGGGTGCTATAGGTTTGCCTCTACTGTCCCAGTATCTCCAAGTGGTCTTTGCTAGTGGACTAGAGTAGAACTCTTATACCTAATTGAAAAAATTAAAAATTACATGTAGTGAAATGTACAAAATGCTGTAATCTTCGATGTGTACTCTGAATTTTGATACATGTATATACCCATGTAACTATAAGAATATATATATATCATGCCAGCACACCAGATGGTTGGAATATAACTCTTTTTGTCTTTCTCCTTGATAAAATAGCCAGCTCAAAACAAATGTTTTGAACTGTTTGGATAGGAAAGGGTCATGGGAAGGCCAGCATTTGTGTAAATTCCTTTGAAAGACTGGAAAGATAACAGTCTGTCTTGGCCTCTTCAGAATCAATGGGCATTGCACTGATTACCATTATGCAGAAAAGCATAGTTTCTGTTGAAAGGGGCCGGAAACAGCTGGTGCTTTTACCTTTTTCAACTAGAGAAAAATCTTAAATCTCTCTTTAAAAATGAGAGATTAATCACAGTTCATTGTTGGTAAGAGGAAGTGTGTCTATAAAAAGTATAGCTACTTGTTAGTGGAGTACAGCTTTTGCGAGTAGTGGTGAAAAGGCCTGCTATTGTCTCTTACAGTCCCCTCCTCGTGATAGCACCAGATTCAAAGGGCATATGTCTCATCTAAGTCAGTCTTGTGGCCCCTGACTCTTATTTTTTTCTGTATTAGGTAAGGAAGAGGTAAAAGTTCAGTCAAAGGGAAGAGACCAACCTGTGGCTAGTGACAGTGACAAGTGAACATGTTGCATGGAAAATTGGCCCCTTTTCAAGTTTTCTCAAATGATCTTGTAAAATGTACAAGGAAGGGAGAATATAGAGAGAAGAGTTAACTAGTGATCTCAGGGCTGGGACCTTGTTAATAGAAACTGCCTTTTGCTTATAGTAGGATGTCACTGTAGCTTGCTGTCCTTCCCTCAAGACTGGGGAAGACCCTCATAGGCCCTTGTGAATTAGGGTACAGTTGAGTGGCATAGTAAACTGGTGTTCCTTCTTTGTTGTCTGTCTTTCTCCTCTCCTTTTTCTTTCTTTCATTCTTTCTGCTCTCCTTCTCTCTCTTTTTCCTCTCTCCCTCCTATTCCCTCTCCCTCCCTCCCTATCCCTTTCTGTATCTTCCTCTCTTCCTCTCTTCTTTTTCTCTTGGATTGCAATAAAGAAGCTCTGGCATTCCTGAGGCTGGCCTGGCAACCACAGCCTTGATAACATGGCTTCTGTTATCAAGGCAGTGCAGGTCACTGAGGAACCCCTTCGTCTGGGGTTCTGGACTTTTGTCTCTGATAGGGATTAACAGCTGGCCAAAGGACGAAAGTCTGCTCCAGGGTTATTTACTTATACTCAGTACCTTCACAGTTTCCTCTCTGGCCCTGGGCGGAGTCCTAGATAACCTCATCTCCCAAGGTCATACTTAGTTTTCCCTTTTGGTGTTGATCAGTGCTGTCTTATTGTTTTGGAGCCTGTACCACGTGTCCTTACCCCTTGTTTGAGAAGTCACTTTGCGTGTGTGCATGTGGTTCATGGACTTCTCCAAGAGTCACTGCTACAATTTTTAGAAATCTCAAATCCCTAAGTTACGTCATTAACAAAGAGAATCTCCTGGTTTCTTTACTGCTGCAGATGGCTCCTCTTGACCTGCTTATTCAGTAGAGGGGAGGATATAAAAAAGAATGCCAATCAAGATTCACCTCCATCACTTGCAGTAGAGCCTTTTGTTTCTCCCTGGTTTTTATGGAGACTGCCAGCATGCAGGGATAACTGAAGACTTCATCGCATACTCTCCAAGTACACAAAACATGAGCATCTTTTCTGAGGTTGTGGGCATTACCTCAAATAATAATTAAATCATTCTAACAGCCTGAGAGATCTCAGAAGCCCCATCAGACTCTGTGACAATATATTTTTGGCAAACTGGGGATTTAACAGTTAATTTAAAAAATTTTTTTATTAAGTTAAATTTTAAATGCTTTAATCATCTATGCTTTTCTTTGTATCATGCGTAAAAAAAGGCCTGAACTATCTAGTTCTCTGTTATTTTAGAACCTTTGAAAATATGAATGGTCTTGTTGATTTTTTTCCATTGCTTTTATGGAACCCCATTTAGTTTTTTTAAGAGCTTATCATAGTTCAGCATTTTTCTAATCAATCCACATGCAGCTTTTCAAAAATGGTCCAGTTTTCAACAAGATTCTTGAAGAATATAACTCCAGTTGAGGTTATCATGTATTCAAAATTATACAAGCTTTTGTTAAAATAAAAAGCAGTTATTACATCTGATGCCATTTTACCTGTAATTATAGAAATGATCACTTTTCCCTAACAGTGAAAGTTAAAAGGCAGAGCTGGAAGTACAATTTTTTTTTCTGTGAGCCCTTTGATATTTGCTGGTCTAGGTAACTGGGTAGATTCTGGCAGAAAATTTTTGCTTCATATTTTGTTTTAAAAAAGTATTGAATACCTACTATGTGACAGGTACTGTTACTCTCTCTAGTGAGGATGCTATCTAGAAGAGTTTTTACTGCATGGCACTTGTGGGTGGTTGGAGGATAGATGTTAAATGAATTCACAAGTGTGTCACTGGAGCCAGGACTAAATGCTGAGAGAGGGTGCAGGTTCAGCAATGGCATGTGTGACCTCAGGGAATGCTCGCCTGTCCATGCTGAGATGTGGTGGAGAAGCTTATATGGAAGAAGAACTAAGAGCTTTAAAGTTAAGAAGGGGCAAGAGAGGGCTCTGTGAAGAGTGGACAGCAGGTATGCTGGAGAGGCACAGAGGGGGACTAGAAACACAGGAGAAACAAATTTCAGGCCACATTGCCTGGAGCGTGCAGAGTGAGGATGAGAGACCTTAGGGAAGGCTCAGGGGAAGGTAGGAAGCAGATGGTGCATAGTAACATTGCTCTGTGTGTCACACTTTTCGTGTTGTTGAGACACAATACCTGACAACCAAAGTTGAAGGAGGAAAAGTTTATGTGGCTCACAGTTTGTAGAGTGTTCAGTTCATAGTTGGCTGGCTGTGAGGCAGGGTGGCATGGCAGAGGGGCATTGCAGAGGAGAGAAAGTTCATGGCAGGCAGAATGCAGCAACCACGTGACAAGGGTCAGATTTTTTTTCTGTCCCTTTTATATTATATTTTTTAAGGATGAATAACACTCACGCCTAGGGCGGGGGACCCTTAATCCTACCCTGAACTGTGCCAAACCAGTCAGTGGACTAATTTAATAAGTATACACCCTTGATCCCAGCATGACACACCCTAGAACCAGCTACCTCTGAAAAGCCCCACCTATGGCTGTGTGATGCTTTGGGGGACATCTATCTAGACACAAGCCACAACAGAGTGTTTGGCATCAGAGTGATAAATCTGATTTGCTATCTCAAATGAGCAGGCTGACTGTCCTTCAGAAAGCAGGTATTAAGGAGCAAGAATGGAAACTAAGAGAGTTTAAATGGAAGTCCTGTCAGGAGCAGTGGGGACTCACCCTGGGAGGTGACAGTGGAGATATAGACACATTGGAAAGAGATTTAGCAGTTAATTGTTATTGCTAGTTTTGGAAAACATTCACTTTCTACATAAGACCTTCCCATTATAAGATACTGGTTTTACAATTGTAGGCATAGCACTAAATTGGTAGACTAAAAGAAAATTGAGTAAAACTGCTCTTGGGGCCGGATTGAAGAATGGTGCTTTGAAAGGTGTTTAGTTTTTACCAAGGAAATAGACCTCATGGTGAGAACAATCAGCTGGGCCCATGTTTGCCCCATTTGATTTCAGTAAAGTTTGGATTCTGGTAAGCACATGAATGAAAATGCATTTCGATTCCTGATACCTAACCAGTTCTTTCCTGCAGAGCAGGGTTGGCAATTCAGTCCCTAGTGCAGGTGGGTAAGGCCTAAAGACAATGTCAGTCCATTTTCCACATTTGATTAAAATTCTTTTTGAAGTATTGTATTAAAATAATGAGTGAAGCAAGTCAGATGCAGAAATTATCACTTGATTTCTCTTATATGAGAAATATAAATTATCAATAAATTAAATCATAAAATTAAGGAGAGATGGTAGAAAACAGGGGAATAGATAGACTTATGGGATATGGGGAAGGGGCTGAGGGGCAGTGGGAAGGGAGATGGCAGGGCTATGGAAATGATCAAGATGCAAAAGAATATATGCACCAGTTTCCCACAATGAATGTAATTATTATATATCATGGACATATAGCAATAAAATTTTTGATTTCCTAATAGCTTGCTTGACAAATTTAATTTGTAGCTTCTGTTTATTATCTGCTGCAAATGCTTTTCTTCTTCAGAACATTGACAAATTTTCTAGTTCACATATTTCTATCTTCATTACTTTGTGACGGAATGGTAATGCAGACTCTGCTTTGAAGAAATAGCTGGTTGTTTTGGAATTAGCTTACCAAGTTGCATTGCTTTTTCCTTGTGGTAATTCATCCAGAGACCCAACTAACAGCCATTGTCACTGTAGTATGGTGGAAGAAACCCATCATGTGATTCTTACTTCCTTTAAATTTGTTAAGAATTTATACTTCCATTTTTATTAGTCCTGCTAACCAAACAAGTAATCATTTTATAACATTATCTCAGACATACATCATTGTAAGTCATTTTTATTTCTTACAACAGCTAAAATGAAGTATTTTCTTAGTTAATATTCATAGTTCAAACTATTACCATGGTTACTACATTTAAAAATTATGCCAGCAGCATAGATAAAAGTTAATATACTGAGTGAGTGTGAGTGATGGTTAGTGTAGAAAATGACTACTATGGGAGCTGGGTGTGGTGGATCTATAATCCTGTCTACTCTGGAAGCTGAGGCAGAAGGATTCCATGTGTGAGGCCAGAATTCCAGGAAATTTAGCGATACTCTATGTCAAAATAAAAAATAAAAAGGGCTGAGGATGTATTTCAGTAGCAGAGTCCCTGTGTGGCAAGTGGGAGCTTCTGGGTTTTATGAGAGAGAGAGAGAGAGAGAGAGAGAGAGAGAGAGAGAGAGAGAGAGAGACAGAGACAGAGACAGAGACAGACAGAGGAGTGCTATGTTACACCATGAAGTGCTAAGAACTCTGTGAGGAATTCAAGTCTCTGCTCTTCATTACTAACTATAACTTTGAGTAAGTTGATTAACTTCCCTAATCTTCAGTTTCATCATGTGAGAAAGAAGAATCAGAGAAGTATGGAGTTGTGTTAGTAAAGAACTTTATTTATTTTTTGATTTTTTAATGTATTTGGTACAGGGTCTCACTACACAGCTCAGACTTGCAGTAATCCTCCTGTTTCAGCCTCCCCAGTACTGTGATTACAGGCATGTGCCACCATGCCTGGTTTTGGTGGTGAGCATGGTGCAGGGCCAACATGGCATGCGGTACTGGGGATCAAACCTGGGTCCTTGTGCTTGCCAGGCAGGCAGGTGCTTAGATGTCTGAGCTATGTCCCCTGCCCTAGTAAAGAACTTTAAAGAGCTACTTAAGCATGATTAGTGTTATAGGTACTATAATAGAGCTAATTAATACTTTTATATTTAACAAGCATAGAAAAACTGATAAGAAAAACCACTGTGGCTGTAGTATATTATGTATTCTTTTTCTTTCTTCTCAGCTTTTCCTAAGCCCAAGTGGGACTGTGCATTATTTGATTCTTACTCTGAGTCAATGCCAACAAACCAACAAGCCCGTGACCTGAATCGGATGGAGGTAAAAGAGCTCTCTATCTTAATAAATAGGATGCATAGAGAATTAATCATTAATCTATGTTCTTTACAAGCTTGGGAAAATGAACCTTTATAACACTTTCTCTTCACACTTGGTAATTAGTTTGAGGGCTGGAGAGATGGCTCAGTAGAATAAACCCTTACCTGGCAAGCGCTGTGGCCTGAGTTTGATCGCCGGTTCTGTAAAAAAAACAAATAAATAAATAAAAAGTATAAATAGATAATTAGTTTGAGGATTGGCTTTTTAAATCTGTAGACTGGATGTGTTTATCATTATTTTTTTCTTTTCCCCCTAAAACTACATTTGGTGAAGTAAGTAGCATGTCTTGACCTTCCAGAAGTGATCTTTATGGAATAACCAAACTAAGCCTGAAAATGCTAACCAACACATTTATTTTAATCAAGCTTTAATGCCCTGGTGAATAATGTAAGTTAAATTTTTACTAGCTGGGCATTAGCAAGGTAAAGTGAACCACAGTAATTTTGAAAAGAGATTTGAGAACTACATATCTATATAGGGGCCTCAAATCTCATTCAGAGATCCTTTGGTGTTTTTAACTTTTTACCAAAAGAGGACTGGTTTGGATGTTCCCCTAATTCCTGCAGTGTTGGGCCATTGACAGAAGAAGGGCTTAGCCATGTGCAGAGTGATCCTTAGCTATGAATCAGTAAATATGACTTGATACAGTTGTTATTATCTCCATCATTATCATCATCATTATTTTTATTGCTATGATGTCTGCTGTTCCTTTCCTAAAAAGGTCTAGAATCAGGGCTGGGGGTATGTTCAATGGTAGAGTGCTTGCCTAACCTGTGAAAGGCTCTAGGCTGGGTCCTTAGTACTGCCTGATCTCTAGTCTGGAAGTGTTTAAAAATTTTAGGAAATTTGATTGTCAAATAATATTTGTATGTATTTATAGAATACAGTGCAATCAGTATATGTATGCATTTTTATTTTAAAAGAGAATATGAAATAATATTAAAACAAAAAATTACAAGTGATACAGAATTTCACAGTATTTGTTGTAATACATAGTGTAGTCTTCCAACCAATTATTCATATTACCATATTTATGCATGTAAAATTAGAAGAAGAAAGAATTGTATAAGAAATTAAGAAGATAAAAAATTTTAAAAAAAAGAAATTAAGAAGATAAAAAGCACAAATAATTGAAAAAAGGACACAGAACAAATTATTATTTGCTCCTTTCTATAGACCAGCAGAAAGGCACAGTACAGTTGTCCAAACAATCCTGCTTATGTACATGGATAAAATTTTCCCCAACTCCCTTTCCTGTCCTCCTCAACTCAGTAACTCTTTCTTTTTGTATAAGTTCATTCCCTTTTCCCAGTATCTTTTGTACCCTTCAGATTCCATTTTCTCTTTTAGGTTCTCACACTAAGGAGACAATATGATGTTTGCACATGTGGGTCTGATTTATTTCACTTATGTTTAAATAAATGGACTTTATTCACAGGCTCTGGTTAGAACCCCCTGAAATGAGTTGCAGTGACACAAGGTGGTAGAAGTCAAAGGCAAGATATAGGGTTATTTCTTCATTTCTCAGAACTCCGTGGTTATTTACCCTTTCCGTTGGGGGGCCTCAGGCCTATAGTGTATGTCAGTGGTGTTGTGCTTGGCAGTCCCCAGCCAACCAAGCCTGCCCATCCGGGCCACCTCTGTTGAATACTTCTCTTTGCCATTCTGCTGCTCTGTCTTTCAATTGTAGTTGTCATGGCACTTTCCTCAACAGGTTTCTATTTGCCAAGAAAAGATACAAAGGAAAGTGACTGGAGGAGGAATAATGTACTATATTTACATTTTGAAGAATTTTAGTTTTTGCAGTTTCTTTTTCTGCAGAACATATTTGATGTAGAAGTAGATGCAGTAGTTTTCTGCTTTCCATGGCGCTCAGTTTACTCTGGGCTCTGACATTCTCTGGAGAGGTTTGTCTGTCAGCTAGGCTAGGGTGGATAACTGCGTAGCTCTCTGAGCAGGTGCCCCAGGGGAGGGTTTTGGTGTGTGTACCATGGCCCCAGCTTGCAGAACACTATGAAGTCATACAAACTGTTACCTTTCTGTATGAACAGATTGTTCCAATTTATCGTGGTGTTAGATAGTCTTTGCCCTTCCAATATAGACAGATAATACAGTATTGTTTTTCTTCTTGGTAGAAACTATGTTGCTGACTCAGTAATCATTTATCATCTGTGTGAAAGGAAAGAAGAACAAATATACAGGCAGCTGCAGGTCCGTTTTACACACACACACACATGCACGCACACACACACACACACACACACAATCTACATAGCAATATATCCATCTTTATTGGTATGAATGTGTAGCTAGTTTCATATACTTTTGTGTACCTAACCTGGTTATTTGGGAAGAAGGGGTTGAAATCTACCAAATCATCTTTTACTTTGTCCCAACAAGAAAGCAAAAGAACAATAAAAATCCTCTTTTGAACATTGTTATTTTTGAGGATGAGGTATTTTTAGACACTGAATATGATAAATCAAATTCAAGGAAGGGTGATAAGAGTAATTGAAGTCTTGGCCATCAAGAAATATAGGCCATATTTTAATAACTAATAATTAAATATTTTACCTTCTAAGAACTCATTGTTCCTTATTTTTCTTTTTTTTTGTGGAACCAGGGATTGAACTCAGGCCCTTGCGCTTGCCAGGGAAGCGCTTATTCCACTGAGCCAATCTCCCTGGCCCAAACTTATTGATCTTTCTCTGAGTTTTTCAACCTATCCTGACTGCATGCAGTTTATTTATTCATTTATTTTTAAATGTATGAGTTATTTAATTAGGTTCTTAGTAAGAAATTTGGAACACTAATTTATGATGATAAATTCCATTTGTCAGAGCAAAAATGAATTGCATGTAGCCCCGGAGCTGAGGAACAGCTTTGACTTTTGCTAATATCTGTGAGTTCACTGCTTTCTGATCCACCTTGCATTGCTCTGAAATCTGGTATCTCTTTTTCTTGGTGTTGAGATCTCGCCCTCCTGGTGTCTGGGTTTCCTCAGCTTCTTGAAGTAAGCATCATTGAGGTGTTTGGGGATTTTCACTTTGCTGATATCAATTTTTGTAGAGGTGGCAATGACAGATTTCTGGTGTGTTTTTCATAGAGGAACGCAATTAAGGCTAAGAGGCCCAGTCACAAGTAGCAAGCCACTGGCCAACTGCTTCAGGAAGATCACTCTCTTGCCTCTGTGATGCCTGGTGAGGATGATCAAGATGGTGCTGGGAGTGATGCTGGCTCAAAGTTTCCTCACATGTTTGCCATGGCTCAAGAGCTTTTGGGACACAGCTTTAGTAGGGCAGTATCTAGGCATTTTTCGAAGCTTGACCACATGGGTATATCCATTCTTGTTGCCACTGACCAGTTTTGGGATCGTAGCAAGAACTTTCTCCTTCTTTTTCTTCTCAACCTTTGATTTAGCAACTGTGTACTTTAAACACACAATTCCAGTGACTTTTAATGTATTAGTAGAGTTGTTCATCTATCACTCCAGTCCTGTCTTAGAACATTTTCATCACCCCAAAGAAATAATCCATATTCATTAGCTATCATTTGCCATTCCTCTCTCCACCAGCTTCTAGTAGCTTTCAGTTTATTTTCTGTTTCTGAATTTGCCTATGCACAACATTTCATATAAATGTTGGTGTTTTGTGGCTGGCTTCTTTCACTTAGTTTGTCTTTTCTCTCTCTCTGTGTGTGTAGGGGGGTTTGTTGTACTGAGGATGGAGCACTGGGCCTTCACATTAAGCTACATACCAGCTCTTTTATTATTTTTATTTTGTGACAGGGTCTCCATAAGTTGCTTAGGCTGGGTTTCAACTTGTGATCCTCCTGCCTTAGCATCCCAGAGTGCTATAACATTTTTATGGTTCACTCATTTCATAGCACCTATCAGTGCTATATTCCTTTTTATTGCTTAAATAGTATTCACAGTATGGATATACCACATTTTGATGGTTCGTTTATCAGTGAACAGACCTTCATGTTGCTTTCCCTTTTTGTCTGTTACTAACATGTATAACACTTTGTATGCGCATGTTACCACTTCTCTTTGGAAAATACCTAAGAGTGGAATTGTGGATTATGCCATACAAAGTTCACCCTTTGTAGCACCAAACAGTTTTAAGAATTTACAGTCCTTGAGTTTAAAGTTTATCCATATTTAATTTTTTAGTATGTTTAAAATATAAAGATAATCAAAAGGCTTTTGGTGACAAGTCTTTCTACCATACCTTTGTTTCATCTAATAAGTCAACCTTCCATTTTTAGTTATCTTTCCAGAGTTTGCCTATAAAAATAAAGCAAATATGAATATATTACCCTTTAATTTGGCTTATTTAGAAATCTTAGAGTACATATTTTTTAGGCTTTATTGAGGTATAGTTGATGAATAAAAATTGTATACATTTATTATGGATGTGTTGGTGTACACACAATGTGAAATGATCACCACAATCAAGCTAATTAACATATCCATCATTTCATAGTATTATACTTTTTTGTGGGGAGAACGTTTAAGCAACTTTACTTTAAGCAAGTATACTATACATACTATTATTAACTATAGAAGTGCATGTTAAGGGTTTATATATAAGAAATAAATTCAGAGTAAAGTTTAAACAAATTCATACTTGTTCAAGTTAGGTACTTCTCTCATATGTGAATTAAGAGAAAAATTTGATCTTCTCATCCATACAGTGCACTTATTCCATGGCAAGGTGGCTATTTTAATCACAAATAGTTGGACACTTTCGTGACAGATCCTAGCAAAGGGATGGCAAACCTTTAGAGCTTTTGATAACAAACAGCCTGCTGCGGCACACATGCCATAGGTTTATCACCACTGTCATAGCAAATAGCCACATCATTGGCCACTTATCAGAATCCTTCTGCTTGTGAAACAGTATACATAGGCTGACTGGAAAAATACTGTGCAATTCTCTGGATGAATCTCAGGCTGGATTCAAATGTAATGCAGGATCTATACATATGTATGTCTTGCTCTGGATCATGATTTCTTTTCTCTGTGTATACAAAAATTTCAGTACAGATGAACTTATATACCTCACTAAAAACTAAAATAATAAAATAGTGTTAAATGTCAGGGCTTACTGAGGATAGAAATTTTGGCAGGAAATATATCTTTTAAAACATTCTTATCATGTGTGCACATCACTTAACTTTTACTCCAACCAGTATAATTCATGTACTTTTCATTTCCAAGAAGACATCTGTTAAAGACATGGCTGATTTTCCTGTTCCTACCCAAGATGTGACTGGTGATGATAAACAAGGTATGCAATGATTGTATTCTCTTCCTTCATTTAATTTAATTTTTATTTTTTGAATGTATTTGGTTGTTACAGAGTCTCACTACACAGCTTGAACTTGTGGTGATCCTCCTGTTTTTCATCCTCCCCAGCACTGGGATTACAGGCTTATGCCACTAATCCTGGACTCTGTAGCTGGCTTAGCCCACCCTGGGGACCGGGCTGCTGTGGCGTGTGGTGCCAGGGATTGAACCATGGTCCCTGCACTTGCCTTAGCTTGCCTAAGCAGGCACTTTAGTCCACTGAGCTGTCATGACAGCCCCCCATTTTCTTCCTTTAAAGACACTTTTCCTCTTTTTTATTATCTACTTCTCTTGGAATAGCTGGCTTCTAGAATGTATGAAGGCAATAATCAGTATAGAAATGCATTTGGACAGATTAGGTAGTTCAAATTGTTGCCATAAAATTACAATTCGTACTGTGGTAGCAAGAGCTTGAGTGTCCAAATTCCCCCAACTTATTCGTTCATTTCTTTCATTGGTCAATTACAGTTTGACACAAGGCTATTTTGACACCTTATACTGGAACCTGGTCCTGAGTTAGAAAATGATTACAAATGGAAAGAGTTGAGGGCTTGATATCTTGTGTTAGTAGATGTGATCTAAGATCAATGTAAATGCACCTTTTATGTACAGGTTTAATGCATGAGAAAGTCAGCTCTTGGGCCAAGTTCTGGTCCCACTATTTATCTGTTTCTCAGTGACTTTGTAAGTATGGCAATGTGACATGGAGCCCAATCACAATTTGCCAAACTAATGAGGCAGCTAGATGCCATTCAGCCGTTTCATTTTAGAGCTACAACTAGGCACAGAGATGAGTTGGCCTGCAGAATCTAAATGTGTAGAAAGGACCCTGTGTTCCAAGCCCTATACTTTCTATAATGCTTTGCAACTTACCGCGTCCTTCCTTGTAGACTGTCTTATTCAATCACCACAAATTGGCTTGTTTTATCACGTAAAATCTGGAGACAAGTGAACTAAAATTCAGGCAATGTGAATCATGTACTTGTGCAAAAAGAAAAAAGAAAAGGAACTGGGATAAGAACCAAGATTTTCTAAGTCTGACCCCAGTATTCCATCTGTTTTCTGAGATTGAGTCACTGCGCATGAATGAGAGAAGCTTATCTGAGGTGAAGCCATTTTAGTTTTTATTGTTGAGACTTAATATTGATGTACATTTGTGTAGGGATTTAAACATGAGAAATATATTTTTCAGTGGCAACAATAATTTCTTTCTTTCTATTTAAACACTTGCTCAGCAGAGGCAGGTGGAAGTAGAGACTGCCTGTAGCCTCATGTGCTGTGATCACTGTCCTAACTGGTAGATCTTCACCTTGGCTGCACAGGGGGAACCCTGTGCAAGATATAAGAACATTTAAGTAGGGTTTCCACTCCCAGATGGTCTGATGTCCTTGATCTGGCTGTCAGGAATTAAGGAGAGGAAATTCCCGTGCTTCCTGGTAATACTCTTGCTAACTACTAGAAGCTCTCTGGAAAGCAGAAAATACCCATACATCTTTACTCTAAAATAAGGCAAGAACCTATTTTCATATTTCAAGAGGTCTTTATTGTTCTAGTAAATGCTATAGCAATTAATAGAGGTTTTCCAGACCTATTTTTATGATGACTTGGAATTCTTTGTTTCATTGTTACTGGCTTTAGAAATAAAATCTCATAGGATTTTTTGTTTTTTCTTCCTTTCTCTGTACTGTTCCTGAAAAATGAATCAAAACGTCTCCAGCCCTGAAAAGTACTCTCAATGAAGCCGTACCAAAGGATGTGCCTGAGGATCCAGGTAGGAGAAAACCATTGTAACATGTTTCCTTGTAATTATATCTAATTTATAAAATAATAGTTTTGCAAGAAGATTGCTACCTCTATGGCAGGGTATGTGTCTCTCTAAATGTTTGTCTTGGGTCTTGTTACATGGAAACCCTTTGGCTCTCTACCCTTTCACTCTTTTCATGTATAAGAAGAGGATGAGTTCTTTAAACTTCCAAATGCAGTTTTTACCAAAAGGATCACTCAGTTTGAACCCAGGGTTTTGTCGCAAAGTACAAAATTGAGAAGGCTGGGTTGAGATGATTTCAACAAGCCCTTGTGGCTTCTGTAAAGTATGGGATTGATAAGGTAGATCAGCTGGAAACCCAGAGTTGATATTTTCCCTACCCAAAACAAAAACTCAAATGCTGTATTCCTTGTATTTCCTTGCCAGGAAAGCAAGTATATATACTTATATATGGAGTAGATTCCAAGAAGAAAAATGAAGCTATGCTGCCCATTTTCTTAGAGAGATTGTTATTTGTGGAATTATAGAAAATGTCTGGGTCTGTGTCCTTAGATCTCTTGATGGAACCACTGTTAAAATAAGATGATCTCAGTTAAAAACCCAACAGATTCCAAAAGACGTTACTATTGGAACTCTGGTTAGAGGACATAAAAGAAGTTACTGCTTTCTTTTTCACTATTATTTCTCTTGCCTATTGAATAACTATATCATGTTTATTGTGATTAGCTAGCTGTCCTCCTGAGTTTATTTATTTAAAGTTAGAACAGCAGAATCAGTACAACATTGAAATTTATGCTGTGATAAAATATTTCCTAAACATTAGGTTCATTCAAGGTTTAAAAAAGGGGATATTATAGGGAAAGAGGAAGGAGCAGGGGGTAAAAGGGCAGGAAGAAAAGGGAAAGGGATAGGGAAACAGGAGGGAGGCGGATGGAGGGAGGAGGAGGAGAGAGGAATGAATAGAGAATGAATGAATAAATGAATGAATGTAAGTACATGGAAGCTCCCCATGTGATTCTGGCATTCACCCTACTTTGGAACCACTACCTCTAGAAAGTGGAGCTACAGAATGGAAAATTAAGATTTTCGATCAATGGTCATTCCAAAAGTGATGGGAATTCCTAAGCCTAATTTTGACTTTTGAAACTCACTTGGATTCATTCATCATAGAGGGAATCCCTCTATTTATGTAGATCAGGTTCCTGGGGCCAGTTCTTTCCTGCTCTAATTTCTAGTGCTACCATGGGTACTTCCCAGGTTTTGCATTTGAAAATTCATGTTATGGTATTAGAAAAAGTTGTTTAAATTTGAACTGTTAAATTGATGCTTGTCCAGTAGCCTCTGGGAATCATAACTTTTCCTCTTTTTCCTAGGGATTTTAACATGAGATCAAGTGCTCTCTTTAGATCTCATTTTTACACCTCTCGACTAGGACCTGGCATCACCAAACAAAACCTAACAGGTGTGCCATGGTGCATGAAGAGCATCTAAATTTGTCCCACATTATGCTTGGAAACACGCTGTGTGTTTTCTGCTATGTTCTCTCACTGCTGCCCCTTTCTGGATTTGATGGGATTCCTCAACTTGAAATATGTCTGTGGGAGACACAGGAATCTCAAGGTGGTAATTCTAATTTCGGATGGCAGTTGTGCCCTCGGGCTGGTTTACCTCAGGTCAGCCGCAGCCTTTCAGAGGCCTGTCTTTAGGCCATGTCCCTCCTCTCATTCTCATTTCCAGGAAAGATGACATGCCTGGAATTTTCCAGGACATTGCCATTCTTCCCTCTCTCCAACTAAATGAGACGCCATGATCCATCCATTAACTTCTGTTTGAATTCATAACCCAATGTGCCATTGCCATTTCTGCAGATGATCATACATACTGTCAGGCTTTCAGGAGCTTGCAGGCTGACAGGTAGAATACTGCTGCTCTACTTTAGTTAGAACAGTGTTATCCAGCCTCATGTAGTCTGAAAACTGAGATCTGCTTTGGATGTATTTTTGCAGAGGAAAAGAGCTACTATCCCTCTGCTCTGCTCTCCAGAGTTGCTGGTAATGTTAATGACAATAATAATTACAACAAGGGTGATGTGGTAGTTGACAAATAGGTGGTACTATGTCATTAGGGAATGGTGGCATTTCTTGTTAAATATTTTTCAGTATGCCCTTACTCGCTTAATTGTTGCCAAGTGTATGTTAGTTGAATCAAAGAGATTTCTTACACCATGTCCCCTTGCAGTTTAATCCCGCATTGCATACCACATTGCACAGTGGTGATCTTTGCCTCGATGTCTTTGGGCCAGCTAAGGTGTTCTATGCTGGTTTGCTCTTTTTTTTGAACCTCAAAATTGCTTTAATTTATTTTCCTTATGAAGTATATTTTATTTTTTTTATATATATATATATATATATATATTTAAATTTTTTAACTTTTTTACGGTACCTGGGATTGAACTCAGGACCTTGCTCTTGCCAGGCAACTGCTTATTCTACTGAGCTGTCTTCCTGGCCCATATATTTTTATTTTTAAAGAGAATAAAATGGTGAAAAACGTTAGAAAAAATACAGAATTTAGCTAAAAAATAATAGGAATTCATCAATTGCTGTTATATTGCATTATGTTGTCTTCCAATTAGTTGTTAGATTACCAGATATAAGCAAGCAAATTGGTTTAAAAAAGTTATATGAAATTAAAAAGGAAGAGAACAAAAATGTAAGCATTAACCAATTCTTTCTGTAGACCAGGCTGGTTTACTTTTATGGCGCGGTCCTCACACTGATGCTGGCAGTTCTAGGGGCTGCTCCATTGCCAGTGATCACCTCATGGTCTCAGCATAATAGAACAGTTTTCTCTTTCTATTACTTGCTCCCATTTATCCCTCTTTTGCTTTCCTGGAAAGAAGTACACCTAGAAATCAGATTTCCAAGCTTGAAATGTTAAGAGCCTTTTATTTATGCACTGTACGATGTAATGTTTCACAATTATAAAATACTTTCAGTTTTCTTGCCTTTTTCTCTGTCTCCATGAGAAAGAGGCTGCATTTTCATGATCTTCATTCTGCAGATGAGGAAACTGAAGCCCAGGGACATAACAGTGAGTTAGTGTCATGGCCAGGAGGAGCACCTGGGCCTTGGGTTTTCAGGCTGATTTCTGGTCCTGTCTTTCCACCACTCTTCCACACTTTCACTCCATCTGTGCATCTATCTATCTCTCATTAGCAGCGCAAGCACCTCCTTCCACACCCATTTCTGCACCAGTGAAATGACAAAGATAATGACAATTGATAAAGGAATTAACAGTTATCATGGTCTGCTTTGGGGAATAGTCTTTTTAACATGGCCAGGACTTCCACCCAAATATTACTTGAAAGCAGTAGGGAAGAAGGGAGAAGAAGGACACAGAGCTGTAGTGGTCAGCGTGTTCCAAGGCCTACATACCCGATTCTGTGGTGAGTCTGGCCACATGCTTGTCCCCCACCCCCAGAGTGGCTTCCTTGGCTGGGGAAGAGGCCCCACTTAGGCTGCCTTTCTCTGCTGCTGAAGTTTGTGTAAAAGAAGCTATATTGAGTTGTGGGTGTTTGATGGGGACAAGGAGAAACTCAAACTCCGTGCTTTAGAAGCTGTGGCAGTGCTTCACTTTGAAACTGAAGGTACTTGTGTTCTCACTATAGCACACCCAGTGTTTAGGCTGGGAGAAATTCCTCTTCTCGACAGCTGACCATGTCCAAGGCCCTCGGTAGTTTGCTTTGTGTCATATTAGTGGTTATGAGGATTTCCACCTCCTCTTTCTGCCCTGCTTATTTAACGCAGGGATTTTCATGATTATCATCGTCTAGCATGGTCCTTCATATCAAAAAGGGTTTTTATCTTTGAGTAACGTAAAAGAGGATGGAATAATACAGTGAGATATTTTCTTTCGGCAGAATTTTTGAAAACAAATAAATTACATTTTCCTGGTTCCTTATTACTAGCTGTCTTCTTATAAATTTTAATGGTGAAAAATTTACAATATTTAGGTATTGAGGATATATCTCAGTGGTACGGTGCCTGCCTGGCAAATACAAGGTCTTGAGTTCGATTCCCAGTACCAAAAAAATTAAATTTTCAAAACCTTAGCATAGCTACTGGTTTCTAAATTTGTCTTTCATGAAAGATAGAAATAATAAGGGAATTGATATTTTAATGAATGTTTCTAATTATCACTCACAATTTCTGGTGAGAAAGTGATCTCCATGGGTGTTAGTAGTAAGTTAATTTATGACCTAAATTTGATGAAAAACAGTGATGAGGTTGCCAAAATATTTTAATGATTTATTCCATAGTACTTTCTGTTTGATTTTGTCACAGAAACATGACATATGAATATTTCCTTATAAGAAAAGTTGCAGAGCATCTATTACGTTTTAGGGACATTGCTTTCTTTTGGCCATGTTGCTCCAGTGGTGTATTTTAAGACAATGTTTAGTTGAGTAAAGTTCTTCTTCGCCTTCAGGAGAATCTGGTTCAAAATCTATTATGGGCTATCGTGATAGACTAGGAATCCTGCCAGTGTACCCCTTGTCTTTTTATCCTGGAATGTTCACTAATGAACTTAGATTTGAGAATGGCTTCTTAGAATAATGTTCTGACAAAGGGGAAAATGTGCTGAATTTTATTTCCTTTTAATTGTGCTTTTGGCTTTAGAAATAAATGTAGAAAATTATGAAATTGTGGGATTCCTCAAGTTCTCCATTTGGACATCTCTACCTCACATTTACCTTTCAATGTGTTCTGTACTAGCCCAGGTGCTGCATATAACCCTGTTTAACTGCAAAAATGAAACCCAAGCAAACAACAATTAATCTTTGTTTCAGCAACTCCTAAGGATTCCAACAATCTCAAAGCAAGACCAAGATCCAGGTAGTGTTTGTTTAATTTCTGCTTTAATGCCTTTTTTGTCCTGTCCCTGCCTAGAAATAAAAGCTCCAAACCCAAAGCATGATCTCTTTTGTCTTTATATTTGAAGTTAAAAGTATGGGGCCATTTTCACTCATTGTGAGTGGCCTGCTTCAAATACACAGCCATGCTGGCAATCCACTTAGTCTCAGGTTGTCAGTGCTAGAACAAAGTGGCTGATGAGTATCAGCCTCTGACAGGAAGTGGGTTGAAACATCTGGGGCAGAATGATAGCTAATGGGGGACAGAGTTTTGGAAAGAGAGAAATACAGTTAAAAGGTAACAACTGGAATTGGCTATTGTGACAAGGTGACTATCAAAAAATAGGACATCTGGGGACTAAAATCTAGATACAGAAAAATGCTTATGCTTTCAAGCAGGTACAAAGCTTCAGGTAAGCAGTGCCCATGGTCTCTTTGAGTCTATATTAGCACTTCTTCTCTGCTTTTCAGCTGTGTAGGCTAGGCCAACACGTATATATTTTCTGAATTTTGCTTTTACTCTGTGACTATTTTCTTCCTTTGGCTACTAGACATATTCCTAAAAAAGTGAATTTAAACCTGATTATACTTTTAGGACATTCTGATCTTATTGTAAATCAAAGATTTAACCATTAGTTTATCTTTTATGTCTGCGTTTTCTAAATTGAGGTTTTGTTTCCATTTTAATGCACATATCTGTATTTGTAATTTTAAAAATAGGGTAATATGTTTCAGTAGAAAGAAGTATAGCCACCCCTTTCTGTGTTCACTATATGTAGTCATCCTGTTTTAAAGGATGGATTTTTTTTTTGAGATATACTCTGTAGTTTAGGCTGATCTTGAACTCACTCTGTAGCTCAGGATGGCATTGAACTCGAGGTAATCCTCTTGTTGCAGCCTCCTAAATTCTGGGATTAGAGGTGTGTGCCATCATGATATTTTAAAATAAATTCATCTACATTAGCTGTGAGATATGGAAAAAGTAATATTTATCAAATTTCATAGTAGGAAAAAAATTCCTTGATGGAAGAAACCTACTTATGTTTTCTCTGCTAACCATTAATTGAATTTAGCTTCTGCTTACTTTTTTCCTACCTCACAGTGGAATTATACAATCCCATAGGCAGTTCTCTATTATTAATGAATCTCGCTATATGTCATATATTATTCTTTCAGAGATTGACATCCTTGTCTAATTTTGATGATTTTATTTTCATTAATTCCAACTGGGTTTTTATTGAGACCAAGTGAATGAAATCATTTTTATTTTTCTTTTTAAAATAACAAAGGTTTGTAGAAATGTAAGGCAAAGAGGTAAAATCTTCATTCTAATATTACTAGGTCCATTTGTCAGTTCTCTGAATATGTATGTTTTCATTGGTTGCAGTTGTGGTTATACAATCCCAATTATTTGACTTTCAGTACTTTATCATGGGAAAGTGAGATATATGATATAGGATAGTGTGTTAATGTGCATGTGTGTGCACACAATTATTTCTACATGTACTAATTAATTACTCTTTCTTTCTTGAGGGGAAGATGTCATCAAAGCTGTAAGTGGTAGGGAAGGTTCTTTTGGTTTCTAGCTGGGGTTTCTAATTTCCCTTTTAAATATAGTTTTTATTTTTTGTATTTTCTAGGAAGGGTCTACAGGATGTTCAGGGTCTCATTAGTAGATCAGACTCATAGTGATCTGCCTGTTTACAACCTCCCAAGAGCTGGGATTACAGGCGAGCACCAGCACACCCAGTCTCAATTGCCATCTCAGCATGCCCCCAGGGGTGGGGCCAGCACAACAGGCGCTTTAATAGGCTGAGCTATTTGGCCGGCCCCTTGGATCAAATTTTTAAATCATTAAAAAACTTTATTGTCTTTTCATATCAATTCCCTTTGATTCTGGTTGAAAGTATTAGAGCATTCTTCCTTGGACATTCCTGCCTGTTTTTGCCTTGCCTGTCTTGCCAGTTATGTTACAGGGACCCCCGGAACATGTCATGTGTCATTATTGTGGTGTTATTAAAGATTACAACCTTGCAAGACAGACAAAACCCTCAACTTCCACAAACAAACTTTGAGAAACTTGAGAAAGTAATAACTCATGCTGTCAAAAACAATTCTAGGGTCTGGGGAGATGGCTCAGTGGAATAGGCACTTCTCTGGCAAAGGCAAGGGCCTGAGCTCAATCCCCGGTTCCACACACACACACACACAAAATTCTCTGTGAAGAATTGAAGGGACTTAATATTCACTGAAAGATTGTAATTTTTTAAGTGCCATCTTAATAGCTAAATTCAAAGAACAGTTTCTTAAGGCTAATTTGTCACTAGGTCACATTCTTGACTCAGAGGTTGTTCTCGACCAGCTGAAATGCCAAAGAAAAGAAACATACAATTTCAGCTCTTTCATTGTTTTCATGATCATTATATCCAGAATATGTCTTGTAATCTGTTCCTAAACAGTAGGCCAATGTAGAGAGTTCAATTAATTTAGAAAATTAGTCTCCAGCAAATCTAGCTATTCCTGCCAAAGGAGTTGTTCTCTAGCTCATAGGCAGAACAAGAACATTTTAGGAGCAAAATTTAAAGACTGGAGTTTGAATTGAACCTATATGACTTTCTAGCTCCATGACCTTCACTTATTTAGTTTCTTTTTCTTTAAATGTCACCATTGGAATGATAATCTCAGAAGTTGCCTAGTTAGCTGTGCCTTGCTATACTTTAAGGAAGGTTAAGATGAAGCTTTTGCCTTCAAAATTACCCCAAACTTTATTTCTTATGGCAAAAGAAGCAAAACCCATCATCCTGATTGATATAGGTATTCCTTTCCTAAATTTCATTTGTGGTATATGCTTTTGGATATTTGATTCTCAGCCTCAGCTTATCTGTTCCAATTCCTTTTGTACATGTCACATTTGCAAATAAATTTTGAGAAACATTTTGCAGTCAGTTAATAGCATGAAACCTTCCGTTAAAACATGGAAGTACCTAAGCTGAAGGACTTACATGTTGTTCTTATTAGAAGCTCTAATAGAAGTTGATTTGAATTTACACAGAACTTTTGGGAGGGGATAACTTCAGGTCCATAGTATAATAAGAGCAAAGAGTTTAAAGAGATCCCACTTCATGGTTGGATTTGGACACTTACTGTACACTGTGGCATCCAAGGGGTAGCAGAATTTATGGCTGCTTTTGGCAGGGCATTGGGCCTTGGCAGTCACTTTGACTTTGTGGGTGTTTTCTATTTAAACCCAACATCAGGGGGTGAAGCTTTGCTATTTCCCTTTTCCTTCCCTTCTGACCTTCCCTTATTTTGCTGCAGATCTTACTCTAGCACCTCCATAGAAGAGGCTATGAAAAGGGGCGAGGATCCTCCCACCCCGCCACCACGGCCACAGAAAAGCCATTCCAGAGCCTCCTCCTTGGATCTGAATAAAGTCTTCCAGCCCAGTGTGCCAGGTGAAGTGCTTCTCTGCCCCCTAAGCCTTTTTCCTTCATGTTGGAGCCAGCGGATATATCTGCCACAGGGGCCTTAATGAGTCTGGGGAAGAAGCAGACTTGGCAATTTCTCATTGCAAGGTTTTTATGCCGCTGTGGTATTCTTGTTCAGGAAAATAGTCCTAGCTAGAGATATAGCACATGGCTCTGGAGCCTTGCTTAGGCTTGTTAGGGATCAAGAATTACGAAATTCTCTACCAAGAAGATAAAACTGCTTCAAAGCCAGGCTTCCCACTGTGTGTTTGGCTGGGGTCTTGCTTTCTGCATCATGGTAATTTGTAAACAAGATCACTCTGTCATTTCCTCAGACACTTACCTGATTCTTCTGTGCAAGATCTTGGTGATCGGCACATGGCCAGAAACTTTTCCTGCAGTGTTTCCTTATGGAGATGATCCTGTGTGGCATAGGATTTAATGCAAAGGGAGCTTTGAATCTGAGTGGTAGTCGGGTGGGTGGTGGAAAGGTCTAGAGAAAGGGAACCTTGAGGTGTACTGCTCTGAGGTATCTGCAGTGGGGCTTTCTTAAGTCAACAGCTGTACAGCTGGGCTGAAGGTAGAGGAAGCCAAGGGTGCCTGTCTGCTTGCTGGCTTCCTGTGAAGTAGGATATGTTCTCCTTGGGAAGCTAAGGAAAAGACAAAAGTCAAGCATTTGCTTTTGTGCAGGTGATAGGATACAGTGCCGTACAAGGTGCTGTTTTCAGAGCAGCAAGGGCTTTTCCACTGACTCGTGTAGGCAAGCTGTATATACAATGATTTCCTGAAATTTAAAAATCTATGTGCATTTTAAATCAAACCAGTCTCAGATGCTAGTAATTTCCAGATTATTATCTTTCTACTAAAGCAAGAAGACTCTCCTTGGCTCACACATTAGCATGACCTCTGTGTCCAGGCAGAGTTCAGCACATTTTATTTGTTCTAATAAAATACTCTTCTCACAGTAGAGTTACAGATTGTTTTTTAATATATTAGAATCTGGAACTCTCTATGAGATTCGATTCTCTGCAGTGAGTTCATCAGACAAAAATTTCTCTTGAATTTCACCCCATCCTTTGATCCAAATTCTGGCATATTTTCTTAGTAACTAATATTTAGGTTGAAAGTAGCCATAGTTGATGATGCTGTAAAAATTTCACATCACTGGAAGATTTTGACCTAGAAAACTTTTATATGGATGAAGAAAGATTAAAACAATCTGGACATTTATTCTTGCAAAGAGTAAAGCTGGAAATGTATATACTTGTTTCAGGCTGTATGACCCCACAAGGAGATGTGAGCTATGTTTGAGCATCGACATGTCGTATCTTTTGCAGCACTGTATCATGGGGTGGAGGAGACAAAACAAGATTTGGTGTTCAGCTCAGCTGCTTTGTAACACTTTGATTTTCATCAAGTCGCTTAATCTTTGTGTACTTCAGATTCCTAATCCGTAACATAGAGCCCAATACTTCATGGAGTGGTACAGGTGAAGTCATAAACATAATACAAATACCACAGTGTTTGGCCTGTAGGCCTCAATATGCATCTGAGGCCCATCTATCTGTGGACTACAAATGATTTAATGCCCCCGGGAGAGACCCTTGGCTGATAAGGCTAAAACCTACTACTCCCTGGACCCCAGGGGGCAGTACTGTGATTCTTTCTAAAGGGTTATTTAGCAAGCTTGCAGAAGGACTGAACCCCAGTTGCTTGCTATAATACTCCAGTCATTAGCATACCTCTTAGTTTTTCTTCCTGCCCTGACTTACTTTCCCTACACCCAAATAACATACCACCTCTCAAGTCCTTGTCTCAGGAGCTGTTTTAGTAAGACCCTGAATTAAGACAGTTTCCTTTGACATCATCAGTGAAGGTCAGACTTTACAATGAGAAGCATTTTAGTGGGATATGTTGACCCTTCTATATGTCTAGGTAAACCAAGTTGTGGGAAAAAAAAATCTGTGCAGGTGACATCTGTATTCATGGCCTAATTGTATTGGAAAAATAGCATGGTTCTGTAGTGTTTGTAGTGTGAAAAAGCAGGTTTATCATTGCATTTACTTAATTTATTTTCATTTAATTAGTTCCCACAAGAAAGTACAAGAATCTGTTTAGATTGTGTAGAATTTTAGTATATCACATATTGCTGGAAATTATTCAAATGGTGACAAATGAGAAACATGCACAATAAAGTCTAAACCTTCCAGAAGAGTGTACATGTGAGAACCATGATGCACACTTAGCAATCTGTTTGTTGCCCTTGGCTTTATGTATCAATTTAGGTAAACAGGTTCACACTATGTTTGTTGTTCTGTATCCTGATCTTTCCAGCTAACCATCTTTCTACTTCCTAGTAGAGAGCTGAATCATTCCTCTTGTTGCCTGCATGCTGTGGGTATCCTGTGGTTGATTATTGGTGGCAATTTCTCTCCGTCTCCCCATCCCCATCTCTTATGTTTCCATTCTTTCCTCTCAAGCTCACTCATGACTCCCAGACCACCTTGCCTGCTCTTTTATTACCCTTGCAAGTCCTCTCTCATCCCTCTTGTTCATAGCCTTCTGTTTCTCTTTTCTGCTGCCCCCTCTTTTCCCTTCTTTCTCTGCTTTTGTCCCTTTTTCCCACAATAGGCATGAACTTCCCCCGTTGCCAGGCTCTTCCACACCTCCATTGTGCTCCCAAGGTTTAAGCAAGGCAAAGTTTATCAGTGACTTCATATCCATATCTTTCTTTTCTTTTATAATTATTTTCTTGTGCGATACCCTACTCATTGGAGTTACGAGGGCAAAGGTTATAGGTGTTGCAAGTATAAATATATGTTGCCAAACTGTTCTATAAAGCCCATTGCTTACCCCATTGTTAACAGTGTCTGAGACTGTTTTCTTACCATCTCGCCATCACTAGTTAGTGTTCACGTACATATATTTATCAGTGTGTATTAATTCTATTTAATTCTGGGTTTCATTGTGGAATGTTCATCTTTTTAAATGTTACCTATACAGTAGGCAAAATTTGCATTTCTCTGCCTCCTAGTTAGGCTAAACATCTTTTTATATCATTGCTGATTATTATTTATTCTTTCATGACTCACTTGTTTGCAAGGTGTTGGCAAGTTCTGCTGCTATCCCTCTCTGCCCAACTCTAGACACTGCTTGTCTTATCTTCATTTTGCCTTCCTTTGTGCTGCAGGATTCAAGTAGGATTAAGTGAATAGTTTAGGAGTAGACAGCATTAATGCATTAACATTTATGAAAAAAGGTAATAAGGGACATTTTGGGCAATGCAGGGGCTCAGAGACTCAGAGCTAATGCCGAGACACCTGAACTAGCTCTAGCAGAAGATAAATGGAGGAGCCATAGAACATAAGGATGAATTCAGGAAGGCCTGAGACCATGGAAAACTTGCCTATTCTCTACACTATTTTCCAAGGAGAGGTTGCTATGGTGACAGACTATAGAGCCTTTATCAAAATCCCAGGCTGTCGAAAGCAAGGTCTGGTCCATCCAACTCACATGTCATCCTGTCGGGTGGATAAGCCCTCTGAGATAGTAGATGTCGGAGATAAAGTGTGGGTGAAACTTATTGGCCGAGAGATGAAAAATGATAGAATAAAAGTATCCCTCTCCATGAAGGTTGTCAACCAAGGGACTGGGAAAGACCTCGATCCCAATAATGTTATTATTGAGCAAGAAGAGAGGAGGAGGTGGTCCTTCTAGGATTACACTGGGCAGAAGATCACCCTCGAGGCTGTCCTTAACACTACCTGCAAGAAGTGTGGCTGTAAGGGCCACTTTGCAAAGGATTGTTTCATGCAGCCAGGTGGGACCAAATATTCTCTGATACCTGATGAGGAAGAGGAGAAAGAAGAGGCTAAGTCAGCTGAATTCGAGAGGCCTGACCCCAGGAGGAATTCATCCAGAAAAAGAAAGAAAGAAAAGAAGAAAAAGGAACAGGAAGTCATCTGACCTGACTTTGACAGCTCAGACTCTGAGAGTGATACAGGCAAAAGGGCAAGGCACGCATCAAAAGACAGCAAGGCAGCCAAGAAGAAGAAAAAGAAAAAGAAGCATAAGAAAAAACACAAGGAGTAAGAGGAGAAGAGAGTGGGGGTGGGGTGGGTGAGAGAATGTGGGTCCAGGAACTTTCTGCCTTAAAGCCCTGGCCCGTGGAAAGACTTGGTAGTGAGATGGGGCCCCACCCTAGTGACTTCGCTCCTGCAGGAGATGGCCTCCCCTCCAGCAGCAGGCAGGTTGGGAGTTGAGGTCCAGAGCAGCTGCTGGAATGAGTTGTTTCCTTATCGCACCTGACTCCTTTGCAAGTGACCCCTGCAGCCCACCCATCCATTCACTCAATGCCCTTCACTTAGCAGGTAGTCTTTTTATCCAGCAGCCACTGCCAGAGCTGGATTCCTAGCAGGGATCCGGGCTAAAGCCACAGGCACTGCTGTGGAGGTGAGCATGGCAGTAGCTGGAGGAGACAGCGATTGCCCCTTCCTGTTGGACTGTCTTGGGCCAGCTCCTGGTCTCTGCTGCACCCACACAGGAATAGAGCGAAAGTAGCAGTAGGGCAGAGAATGTGGTAAGAAGTGGTGCTCACATTTTACATTCTCACAACATGGTTCTACTATGCTAACTGTTACAGCATGACAGCCAGTGGCCAGTCAGAAAACGATCATTTGCAATGACTCATTTTGTGTATGACATTCCACCAGACCACTGAACCAGATGCCTGAGGCCAAGATCATTGCTGTACTTTCTATGTATTCCTGTGAGAGTCTACTGGTTCTACTTCAAGTTTCTGCTTAAATTCCTAGCACAAGAAAAGGTAATAAGGAGAAAAGTAAAGGGCTGACTTAAAATATAAATTCATAAAAACAAGCAAGGTCAACTTTGAAAATGTAGCATCAAATCTAGAGTGTGGACTCTCATCAGGAGACATTGATAAAATAAGCTCATGTGCCTGCCTGACAAACACAAGGTCTAAATTT